TTTTTTCTGATGAAGGGTCTGGGCCCGAAACGTCAGCCTCTCTGCTCCTATGATGCTGCTTGGCCTGCTGTGTTCATCCAGCCCTGCACCTTATTTGTATTTATAAGACTTGATCAGCATTTGGACATATCAATCAAACTGTAAGCAGACAGGCACCCCACTGTGATATCGATAGGTTATAAATTAATTTATGCAGCTTAAATCCTATAATAATAACCATCAGGTTTATGTAAATAGAAAGAGTAAAATAGCAAGCACTGATTTTCATTTTAAACTGCAGACTTGTTTTATTTTAAAGCCCTGGAGATTTAAATACTTTGACAGCTTAATAGTACCCATGAGCTTGATGGTTCAATTGTGTTTCTCTAGTTTTTATGCATATTCATATCTGCTTTAAACAATTCCAAACACCAACTGACCTGTCCAAAAAAACAGTCCATCTTCCAAAGGGACCTCTGGACCTAATCAAAAATTTCCATTGCCTCTTCAAAAGGGTACCCTCCTCTTCAAAGAACTTAGGTTAAATTTAGACTTCTCCTGAAAAGTGTAAAACCCACAGGTCTTATTTCTGATTAACGTCACATTGGATCTAAAGGCAGCAGCACTTTAACATGTGCAGTTGCCTCCCTGAATCACAGATTACAACCTGCCCTGTTTCAGCCACCTCTTCCTTCCACTCTCCCCTCGTAAAAATGATGGGTGTTGAACTTGAGGCAGGTCTTCCAGAATCCGGGCTCCAGTGCCAATTAATGAGTTACACTGCCCATGCAGATGCAAATGTTTTCTGCCCTTGTCCTAATGCATTGTAGTAGCAACTGCTTCACAATTAAACTGAACAAACTCTGCAAAACCTGGGATCATCCTGGTGTATAAGAGAAATACTGTCAAATGTTGGCAAATGGGACTAGGTCATATTGGGATGTTTGGTTGGTGTGGACGAGTTGGAGTGAACAGTCTGTTTCTGTGCTGTATGACTCTATGACTCTATCTCACTTACCCAAGAGGCAGTGGACCAGCAGCAATTGTACTTTATCTGCAGAGGTAAGGGCATGGTATGGAGGAAACATGCCTCATTGTATAACAATCATCTGCCAATGACTGATTGAGACAAACCCAATGAGGAATATCATGATGGTGGTTTGCAGATGCTGGAAGGTTAAAATCAGAATCATAGTCAAGCATAAAATCAAGACCTGCAATCTTCCAGCCAAGGACATACACATCTTCCAAGTCAGGACAGAACTGGAAGAATTGTGAAACCTCAAGAACACCTAAATGTATGAAGTCAGGGAGATATGGAGTAGTGGTAAAAGTGATTATATACATGAATGTACAAATGTTGAATGTGGGAGAGAAAGCTTGGGGATAGATGTTGTATTAAGTAACAGTTCTGAAACATTTAATGAAGACTGCACTAAGCTTTATCCAATATTATGATGTTGTTATTCTTTGAGCAAAGATGTTTGAGATGAACTTAGGATCTAGTGGAGTGCAGATCTATATCCACAGGTATCCTCATAGTCTTAGTAACAATGTCTAACTGTTATAAAGTGGAGATTGATCCTCCTCTGAGAAAAAAAGCAGAAACACCCAAAGAGGAGCACCTCACCCTATAATCTGTTAAAAGGAGTGTGAAATGGGCTGTAACCTGTCTTTTAGCAACTTCTAGTGATTGAGTCAAATAAATCCCTGACACTCACTTTACAATCAGCAAGTAACAATTTATTTATTTAACTGTAACAGTGAACAAATTAACTAAACTATTGACAAACCAAACAAAACCCTTCTGACTACTAACTACTCCTGAATAATGCAAGAATCTAACTGTATGCTGTTCCAATAAGTAAAAGCCCCACTTAGTCTCTTGAAATTACATCTTCTGGAATGTTCTGTCTCTTCTCCGTCAAGTCGTCTGTCAAGAATGCTTTCTCTGTCAATACTTCTGTCAGGGGTCTTAGCTCGGAGTGCTATGGTACCGTTGTGAATAGATGATGCTTTCTCTAAGAGCTGGCAGCTGTTATCTCTAGCAGATGGCAGTTAGCTCTGCTGATTTTCCAACTGCCCTCTTCTTTTATACCACAAATGACATATCGATTTCTTACAATTGGGTTGGGCCTAGGTTGTCAAAACCATCAGATTCAAATTTGAAAGGGTTTTGGTATGTAAGTGTCTGGTTCAAATTGATTGGCTAAATTCAAAAGCCTGTTGTCTTGGTAAAAATGCTGCTTGGTCTGCTAATGATATGGCCTTTTGATACAAATGTTTCAATTCAGATGCTGTCTGTACTCGCAAACTTTGAAGCTGCTCACAGACATCTCCAAACATAGAAAAAGCACAATCTTTTAAAGGGACCATACAATGCTTTTCCCTCTAGGATTTTACAGGCATCAATATTTTATAAACACCAAATTCTAATGTCCTGCCTCCCAATCCACAAATACTCTACCCAACTTCGCAACACTAACTAGCTAGTGTAATTGTTTTAAACAACCTATTGGTCATGTTAAGGCAGGTGGGACTTAAAACCTGGACCTTCTTGTCCAAGGTTGTTGACATTACCACCAGGCTACAAGACCCCCTAACCAGCTAGTGTAACTTTGACCTGATTGTTACCATGTAATAAACAGTGTCGTGTTAAGATAGGAGCTGCATCTTGTTAAGGCTCAGTCGTAGTTGATCTACCATATACCAAATAGGCCTTTAGGCCTACACAAAGAAAGATATTGGTGGCATCATCCTTCTA